CTATCGAAATGAAGGGAAAAATGAAAATACAGATGTACACGATAAGCACGTTTAGAGAGCTGGATGATCAGAATCGTAGAACTGGAATATTTTGACAGATGAGAAAACTAAGAAACACACACACGGTCTGGTTAAGCTAGACACGTAATTCAGGATCTGTGAAGAGAATCCAAATATTCTGAAGTATTCTGACTTCTAATTTCCATGTGCTGAGGGAAGAGCAGAGTAACTTGCTGTGTTTGGATTTTAAAAAATGATCAGTAACATTTTAGCTAATTTGCTTTCAACTATGAAATTTAAAACAACCTAATAATCACTGGTTTACTGTAAATCTGGAAGGGCAATATCAACACATTATGCTAGTGTGTGTATTTACTTTTTTTTAAAGAGTATTTGTGCAGGACAGAGCTTATTATTTGCAGTAAGATATCTGTTTCTCTTAGGATCAATGCCTATAATTGATCATTAATTTCCTTAAAGGAGTTTCATCTTTTTCCTGTCAAACTAGTAAGGTGTGAATACAATGACATGCGGAACATTTGTTGTTTCTACCTATTCCTCTTCTACTATTTTCTTGAGTTTTCTTTAGTGAACCTTATTTTTCCACAAGGCTTGATGGAAGTCAGGGAGTGGGCAGGAGAGCAAGGACTGGCTGACAGAGCATCGTATTCCCCAGACATAACTGGTTTATGACTGAGTGTATGATCCAAGTTAAGCAATTTCTGTTTGGTTAGTTATTCCCATTGTATGTACTTTACAAAGAATTGTGCTCTTTTGTGCTCAACTGGGAACTGTGAGGATATTCTTCCAACAGTCTTGCCATAACAAGGGGAACAAAAGGCAAGCGATTAGGACCTGACCCTGATGACAGTATTTGAATCTTGGAACCAATGTGTCCCAAAACCAGTTTATATTTGGACTTTTTGGATACATGATTCAGTAATATTCTTTCAATATGAATTTCGGTGGGTTTTCTGTACATTGTAATCAAAAGAATTTCCAGACAAATATAATAATTATTTTTAGTAAAAGTGCTCACTACTTAATGATCAGAACTTCCTATATATAGCTAAATCCAAGTGTACAGTTACATGAGAAAAACATAAAAAAGGAAAAAAGTTAAGTTTGCAAATAGATTTCCAGTAAGAATGTGACACCAGTATTGTGATTCTTAAAGTGAGGAAGTTAAGAGTAAAAATCTTATTTTTATTCTGAATTAAAATAAGAATTTGTCTGTAAAAGTGTTCTACCAGCTGCCATATAAAAGGTCCTGAAACTATTTATTAAAACATTTTTGCATGACAAACTAGCAAATAAGGATTAGTAAATAACTATATTGTGAATAATATGAAGCAGATTTCTCACTTTTAGAAAAGTGAGTTTGAAGAGTGGAAGATTTAGAATGAGCTTCTTGATGCTGGACTGAAACTGAAGGACTGATGTGCACTTGTCATGTGAAATTGTAGAGCTAAGTGGAGACAAATATTGACTCGTGCAGCCTTAGTCATCTGGTGGAGGGTCCAGAAGCCATATCACTCTGATGGGTTAGAAAAACCACTTTACATTTTAAAAAACTGGCTGTTTTCAAGGCTAAAATAAAATATAAGATGAACTTCACAGGGCTCACATAATAAGTTATATCAAAAGAACAGATGATCCAACTTGAAGGGGTTTCTACTGGTCAAATCTAGAAGGATTTTAGCATCAAAACCTTCTGAAGAAGAATTCATGAAGACAGCTGATATATGTGAGTGAATGAATGAATGGAGAGAAAAGGAAAACTTTGTTCAAGTAGAAAGTTAACAAGTGCAGGAGGAAAGGCAGAATTAGAAATAGCCATTTGGGAATCAGCATAGTAAAATAACAATTTAGGCAAGAATAAAGTATCAATGAAAGGATGATGAGAAGGAAGAGGCTATTTACTGTAGTTTTAAAGTATGTTTCTACAGAATAATAATTACAAAGGGAAAAACAGTAACTTCATAGTGGAGAAACCTGACCGGCACCACTTCAACTAAGTGATCAAAGTTAACATTGTGAGTAATAGGACAAATCATCATCATCTGCCTCCTGAAATTCTGCACTGACAAAAACAGAATTACTTTGTGGTGCTCCACCTGATAGGCATAATTTGCATCCAAGCATGAGGAAACATCAGACCAAGCCAAGCTATGGACGGCACCCCAAAATAACTGGATGGCAGCCAACAAAACTATAAGATTAAGAAAGACAAAAGTAGAAAAAAATTTTGTTCCACATTTAAGGAGACAGACATGACAGAAAGTCAACAAGTGAACCAGGGTTTTCTTCTGTAGCAAAGGCCACTGGACAGTTGGTGAAATCTGAATAAAACATGAAGAATAGAAATAGCATTATGTCAATATTAGCGTTCATATTATGATCTTATACCGTGGTCATGAAAGGGAATGTCTGTTTTTAGGAAACTCACTGCAGATAATGGTCACCATGTCTGAAACTAAAATGCAACTCAAAGGGTTCAGGGGAAAATCTGTATATAGAGAACAAATGTGGTCAAATTTTAATGCTTGGCAGTATGAGTAAAGAGTACGAGAATTCTTTGTACAATTTGTGCAACTTTTCTGTAAATCTAGTTTCTTTGAAGTAAACTTTTAAAAGAAAAAGTCAGTATATAAAACATATTTGAAAACATCAAAAACAAATGCTGCCCTGAGGAGTTGGAGACTTATTGTATTGATACAAAAATGAAAAGTGTTTATAATTTTAAGGATGGACAAGAAGTTTAAGGAGCTTGGAATTCAAAATAATATATAGGAGTTGTTACTATAGGATAACCCGTGGTATTTAGGGAGAAAAATCCAATTTAATAATTTTTGCTTTGTTTCATGTAAGCCTTATATTTTTGCTGGAAAGTCATCAGTTTTCTATGATTTCTTATTGTCATAATCATTTTCTAAGGAGCACGTTTCCTTTCTGTGCACAGGTTGATGACCCCTTTCTCTTTCTGACGAGGAAATTATATGCTTTTCCCCACTTATTTTTCCTATTCACATTCTTTGAGTGAGGGGAGATGCGTCCACATATATTAAAAGGGAAAGCTTTCAACTCTCCTGGCCCTGTCTATGTGTGTGCTGTCCAATTGCGTATTTCACATTGACCACTGGACAGCAGTGTGATGTGTGCACCTCCTAATTCCTAGTGCTTCTCAGGGTCAGTGAACCTGATATAGTATCCTATCCATTGTGCTTGCCTCTATGAAATACTGAAAAGAGGAAAACCTAAACTAAAAATAGTCAAAATTCAGAATTCTTTGCTCAGCTTTCGCTTTATCATATACTCTTTACTTGGATATAAACCTGCTAGGTTCAATGCGTCATCCTCAGTATTAAATCCTGCCCACCTCCCTAAGTAGCTGCTGGGGACAGAATCTCCAGATGAGTGTATCAACAGAGGCAGAGTTGGGCGGTGGGGATGTGAGCTGCACTCTGCTGCCTGCAGTGGCTAAGAGGAATGGATGCTGATGGAGTGTACGGTGAGGAAAGAAAGAAAACCCTTCTTGCTTCTAGGTGGGACTGCTTAGCTTACATAGCTAAGGTGGCCATCAATTACGCTTTTAATCTAGTTTCATCAGACACAGAGATAACAGAAGTCCCAGATTCTGGCAATAGAAGATTGTCAGGGTTTTAGTATTATAAAAAAAGTTTATTTTTTCTCTTTATGGATAATTTAATAGGGAGTTGAAAGAAGTATATCTTGAGTTGTTAGCAGGTGCCATTTTAAAGTTGAATTTTGAATGAATTTGGAAAGCATATATCAAGATGCAAATACAAATGCAAAAATTTAAAAGCATGAAAGCAAACTAAAAGAATTTTGGAGAAGTAAATACATTCACAATAACAACAAATCTGGCAGAACAGTGTCTTAGAAAGGTTTGTTGAGATTAAATAGTACAATGGACATCCAAATGGAAGTAACATCACTCACTCTCTACCGCTAATAATTTTAATTAGAAAATGTCATAGCTGTTGGAACTAAAAGACAGTTAATATAAATTCTTTTTCTCTAAAAATATGGTTACTTGAGAAGTAAGCAATAGCAAGAATTTAGGATGTTTATTGCTTTAGAATAGCAATGAATTTAGGATGATTTTTCATGTGCCACACATACCTCACTTAAATTTTTCTGAACTTTTAAATTAAACTTACTCATTGGGTCAGGTTTATTTAGTGTTAGTCACTTCAAGCCAATGAAGGCACCAGTGTGCACATGAGCAAAAGCCAGCCCCTCTGGGCAGATACCCACAGACTGCACAAGCGGAACACAGCACCTACTGGTTCCGTTGACTTGGGCACCTTTGTGCAGTGGACAAACTACACAAATGTAAACTAGCAAAACTCTCAAGAACTCAAGGCTCACAGTTTAGGAGGAAAAGCAGGATGATCAATTAAAAATCATAAATTTTAAGATGGAAAACTTACTTTTCAACCTATTTATGTGACATCATTAAGAGAAAAATATTTGTGGAGTCAAACAACTACTATAAAACATGTAAGGAAAACCCCCCAAATAGCAGATACACAGATAGGTGTGTGAAGATGGCACATTAGCCCTCTAATCAACAGGCACTAGGTAGAGGCACACGTGGTTCCTGGGTCAGCAAGACAGCAAACCTAGGTTTAATTAGTGCAGCAAATATAGTCATAAGAATGCTGATAGAGACTGATCCTGTCTAGCGACATAGTGATTTTATAGTTATTTTAGGAGATGAAATTACTTTATGCTAAATGTTATATGATAAACATAGGCTACTGTAGTATACTTAAGTCATACACTTTATTTTTGAGCCTGCTGATATAGAACTCATGTTTACATGCCTATTTAAAATACACAAAGATTATTTTTTGAATTTGTTTTAAAAAATGGTTAATATAACCAATACAGGGCTTTCCAAAGCAGCAGGTGTTTGTTGTTGTTGCTGTTAAACACCACACAGTGCAAAGAAAAACTGAAAGCATACTCACTGAATTGGCATTTGTTGGGTTTGGCCAAGGTCTACCACCACCTGGACCCCTACAAGGCAACAAGATAAATGAAATTTTAACACTTTGTTTCAGAATAAGCAACAACAAATCATAAAACACTAACATTTATAATTCCACCACTGTGCAATTCTAGTCCACTGAAATTACTCTTTTTTTTTTTTTTTTTTTTTTTTAAGATTTATTTATACAAGCACTGGGTACAGTCAGAAGCACGGGAGGGTGAGCGAATTCACCAGAGCCAGAGCGGGGAACAGAACAGGCAGACTGACGAAGTACACCGCTGAGGGGAGCAGCGGGCATGGCAGGTGAGGTCTGCCGCACCATGTGGGACCCTTGCCCAGGGTCAGGGATTGAACCGGCGCTGTAGAGGCTACAGGCAGCTTCGCAGCCCAGCACTCAACCGCTGCGCCACCAGGGGATGCCCTACTCTTTATTTTTTACAACTTTATTTCTTAAAATTTTTTTCATTCTATAATGAAATTTTCTTCCCAAACCAACCTACTAGGTACAGGTTTATTTTGATACTAAGTTCAGTTACTGTTAGTTTAGCTACCACTAAAAAGTAGTGATAACTTATATTAGTAGCTAAATCTAAACCATTATACAATCAATTTTGGGGTGAAAGGCACAAATGAAAATAAAATTATAAACTATAAAATATTTAAAGGTATAATTTATATGCAAAATATAAAATATATAAAATTAAAAAATATTTTTATAAGAGCCACTTGTATCTCATTCAAAATAAAAATTAAGGTATTTGTGAAATAGCTATGAATTTTATCCATAAAATATCTATAATAAAATGATTATTCTTATGCTAAAATAACCATTAAAGAAGTTAAATTTGTCTCCTTTTCAAAAAATTGTACATTAGCATATATTATATATGATACATAGTTATATATCTTTCAGTGCTACTGACAATTAAGTTACTATCAAATAATACAATCACATTTCTTGTTTTCAAAATTGTACTTCAGTATAGTGGTCAGAGTCTGTATCTTGGGAAAAAAAGGGGGTAACTGATGCCAATGTATATCAATATATTACTTCTATAATGTACAAGGACATAAAGCGGTAGAACAAAATGATGCCTAATTAAATCAAAATCTTTCTCCTGTTTTAGTATTACTTACTATTATTTAGTATCAAATATACCTGAGTAGATACTGCCTGATAAAGAGAACACTACTGGTTGCTGTTCCCTTCTAATTTGGGGTCCCTATTCCCTCTAATTGCAGGGAAAAGACAGTGAAACTTTTAATTGAAGGCACACGTCCCCCTGATTCTTATTCTAGGAACCTTAACCCTAGTTTATGAATCTGAAGTGCTATTACGCAGAGGCTGTCCAGGTCAGCTATCCTACCCATGTTTGCTCAGAACACTTAGTACTATTTTTAGTTTTATTTTGAGACTCCCCAGGTATAGAAGTAGCAGGGGAAGGCATAAAAATCCTGTCATTGGGTTCCATGAGAATACCCAAATGCTATTTTTCCTGTCTCTGCTTGAGGAATTAAAGGGGAAAATAAGATGTTAGAGGGGAAGTGCACTTGTATTGTCTCTGGAAATTGCCTCTCCAAGAGGATGATGATGATGAAGATAACTTTACAATGACTGGAACACTTTAGAGATGATTTTGCATATAGGATTCAATGTTCTAATGGATAGAATCTAAGGTAAAACATAATATATATGTTGATCAAGTCAAACATTTGTTTGATATTAAATAAGACAGCAAAAAATTGACAAATATTTACCTGAAGACTATAAAAAAAATACTATATCTAAATCATGGCAAAATTTGTATACAATGAATACTATATGATGACCTCCTAATTTTGAAACATTATGTGTAACTAAAGACTATGTGAATAAGAAATATAAATACAGCAAAATATTATATTACAAAATTTATTTAATGTTAAACACGTTAAATACAAAATAAACATTTAAACAAATTATGTTTAATTAAATGTTTAACATAAAATTCCATTTAAACATTTCATTTATTTAACAAATACTAACCTAATCTTAGCTTACTATGTATTTCAAATTGAACTTCATTTTAATATAAGAATTTATGTTCTAACTCATAGGGATAAGATAAATTTACTCAATTCCCATTGTGCTTGAAAATACTGTTTCAAAAATAGTACTAAATAAAGTGGGGGTTATAGTAAGTACTTATAGTAGAATTACTTAAGCTCAGTAATTCCCCCTCTTTTTGAGGATATCATTATTATCAAGGAAGTAATATACAAACTACATTGTAGCTATTATCTTGGATGGAAATTTCTATATAAGTATAGTTGAAAATAAAAGGTTAGCCTCATTGAAGATAAGCAAAAAATGAATTTGAGAAGCCTGTGCTTTTGGGTAAGGATTATGGAATCAAAGCAACCATGACTTCCCAAGGAAAAATCCTCTTTTCTTCTGTAATTCATAGTCATTTTATTTCAAGATAATAACTACACAAACTTTGTAAGTCTATGGGATATCTATAGCAAGAAGTTTCTTGAAATCCTTTATTTTTGGTTTCCACAAAATACCAAGACATACAAAATTAAATAAGAAATGGTTAATGTTGAGTCCTAAAGTCTTTGGAAGTTTTCTTTAGAAATAATCTATAATACATTTAAAAACATTTACATTGTGGTTGTAGTTTGTAAAAATTTGTAAATTCTACTGTAAATTATGCTAATAGTAAGCGTTTACTTCTAAAGATAAAACATTATACACAGAAACTTTATTTTTTAATTTATATATTTTTACATTTACATTTATTTTACATTTTACATTTATTTTTCATTTTTGTACAATGTATGCATTTTCATCTTGGTTATAGCCCATGTGAAATACCCACCACCCATTCACCTATGAACTATCACCATGGTCCCTTGTGCTTTTCCTACCCTTGCTTTGATCCTACTCCTTTCTATACATAGAAACTTTAAAACATAAGTATAAAATAAACAGGTTTATTTTAAATGACAGAATGTATAATGTATCTTGAGTTTAGAATATGGAAATGCAAAGATTATAGCAGAATAACCATTTTCTTTTGAGATGGTCAATTTTTTTAATAACAAAATTATGAAAACTTTTTCCCAAATAGATTTATTCTTCAAAAAAGAGATAAAATAGATAAAGTTGCCAGTTATAATACAACAGCAATTACTTTACCAAGGTTGATTATTTTTCACTGTAATATTTTCATGGCAAATAGGAAAAGTGAGAAACTAAAAAAAAAAAATAATCTGGAGAGAATTCTCCAGTAGGTCCATTCTAACCACAAAACACAAATATTTTAGACTATTAAAGTTACTGCTTAAGATAAAACAATTCTAATGATTTTTCCTTCAATTTTTAACATGTGAAAAGAGGACAGCTTCACAAATACCAGTTAGAAATACTTGTTTGCCTTAACACAGTAAGACTCACTTTGATTTAAAGATAATAAATTATGAAGTGAATATTAGTAAAGACTACTCTATTGAGTACCATGGAAATGATGTGTTTTAATTTTAACTTCTCTTTAAATTCACTTTTTCTTTGTTGTGACCTGAATAAATACAACAATCATTCTCTCTGGTTCATCTTCCACATACAGAATTCTCCCTTTAGACAGAAATGTTTACAAATGTAAACATATATGTTTACATATAAATATTAATATTATAAATATTAACATCTTCATTGTCTGTAAAGAAATCCTCATTTATGGAAAACCGAAACTAAGACTCCATATAAAATACAGTAACAAATGATGGAAATCTGAGTTTAAGGCTAAAAGGTCCTTTTGAAAGTAGAGTTTATGTAAACAGTAAAGTTAGGTAATAGAAAGTATAAGCATCTAGCTAGCTACATATCAGAAGTACCTAGGTATATTTAAATGAGAAACCCACATCCACATATCACCAAAAATAATTTTTTAAATTTCTATGATAATCTTAGTCTCCATAGTCCAGGGAATTAAGTGTGTGTATTTTATATATTTGCAAGAAAGGAACTAGACATTTTAAACAGCTATTTGAATCTTGCAATGGTTACATGTAAATGTTTTTTTCTACTAGCAAAATCAAAAGTTGACCACATGGTTGATTATAATGAAAATTAATATACAAAATAGATAACCTTAATTCAGAATGTACACTTTTTGCATTTATATAGTTATTCAATATTCCTTAACTTACTGCATTTTAAAGTCAGAATGCTAAGTAGGTAAACTCTATGTATACCTAAAATCTGTAAGTTTCAGCTTTTGATATAAGCATAAAATATCACTCACTCCTTTTTGTAGCAACCATTAATAAAGGCCAAACCTTTGAGGAATTTAAGAGAAATAGGGCTTCATGTCTATCATTTTTACTTTAAAAGTAAAAAGATGTGATAGGAAAATTTGACCTACTTTTTCTCCTGTTCTGTTAGTTTTGAGTCTGACCGGTACTCACCTATTAACCTATTTTCTATTTTAGGCAAAATTGCTTTCCATGAAAAGGGTTTCAGAAACTTAAAAAAAAACACAAAAAAACCCCAAACCCAAAACCTCATGTGTATCAGTAGAATTTATCTCACAGTATATTTTCAATGTGATTAAATGATATCACAGTTGTTTAATTTGATATATAAGTAACCAAAACATAAGCTGATGGGAAAAATCTCAGGAGATTCTTCATACACTATATGAACGCTTTCATTGTTTCTGGTAAGCTTTCTTTTGGCCAAATCATGGAATTGATCCACTCAGTGAATGAATGAAAAGTACTAACAAGCACCAGGTGTATATGGAATTTTGAAAGCAAATTGATGAAAAATAAAAATTCCCTAATGAATTGAATTATATTGGCTGATAGAAAGTTTATTCCCTTTGGGCTTGAAAGATGTTTTCAGTTAAAACCAAGTTAGTAACCAAGTTAGTTTATTTCTTATCTAAATACATGTTGAATTTTCAAGAGGAAATTTAACATAATAGATAACTTCCAGGGTTGGTAGTATTCCCAACAAAGCAACAGAAGAAGATATAAAAACTACATTGCTTATAATTCCTGTATGTTCACTTCATTTTAACGATATTAACTGTTTACTTCTATAGAATGAAATCACCGTTCTGCTGTCAGGATGTCTGTGTACTTCTGTATAGACTAGAGATTATGTGCTTATGTGTAAAAGACTCATTTTTGTGATAAACAAAACATGAAAATCAGACTAGCAGTTGGCATTTATGGCATTTAGAGAAACAAAACAAAGGATTTCATTCTTTGAGAATTCTGCCTAAATCCAATAGGAAATTTATTTCAATTATTAATATTAGGCTGTCAAAATTTAGTATGATAATGTGAACATCATCTGATATATTTATTATTAAATTAATGTTTAAAATCTGTGAAAAATAAAGATCCTTTACAATTAAAAAAAAGCACAAAGGAAGGAAGGAAAACTGAGACTAGGTTGTGAAAATGAAACAAACACTACAACTCATGTTTAGTTCATTTATACAAGTTTCATTTTATACTACACAGAAATTGAGGAGCTCAAACTGTGTTACACATTAATGTCACTTTAGAAGACAGAAGATAGAATACTTTACTGAACAGGATAATATAGCATTTTGCTTACATGTTCATTCCAGGCATCCCAGGACCACCTAAAGCATTCAGTGGGGGTCTCATTGCACCTCCATAGTTCTGTAATGATAACCAAGGGTCAGACTACCACAAAACAAAAAAACAAAACCAAAGAGGAGGGGGGAAAGAAAGGAGAGCAGGTTAATGATTTCCCTAGATAACTCCTGACTGGATAAGGCCTGTGAAATTCATTCTCTGAAGGGTCCACTCTTGTATTTGCTTCTATTTTTAATAATTACTTTCTTTTGTGGCTTTTAAAAGCTATATAAATATGTAAAATCATTTGGAGCATGCTGAATGATTAAGGTCTAGTTACAGTTACAATAGTCAAAATATCTTTATTATTTTTTAGTATTTTTGTTATCAGTGAACTTTTTCAAATAAACATTTCATAAATCCAAATCTGTTTTTAAAGACTCAGCACCATGTTTGAAATTGACAGACTCAGAACACTTACAAAGTCTAAAAAACCTAAACAGGTAAACTCAACATGAGAAAGGTGAATGTAAACTTCTGTTCACAATATAGAGAGAAATGTGGTCGTATACAAATACATGAAAATTAAGGCATACTCGAAATATGTATGGATGAATTAGATGACTCACTTGGCTTCTATCCATATCTATTATGTGCTTTAAAGACAAAGACATTTTAATGTTTTAACACACATAATGTTAGCTCACTTTAGTTTTCATGTTAATATAGTTTGACCCTGTCAACTACTTTAAATGCTTGGCTTTCTGACACCACTGTTTTTCCAACTTCTGTCACTGTTTTTCAGTTTCCTTGTTGGCTCCTTTTATTTTGCTAACTCTTTGAATATTGCTCTTCTCCAAGTTCTAGTCACAGTATTCTTTTCAATAAATATACATTATAGTAATTTTATCTGCTACTATTAGTTCAACAATTATTTTTAAGAATTCCTCTCCCCTAAGCTCCTAGATAACTTATACATTGAATTTCACATGGGTTTCCACCTGGTGACCACTTCATGTCAACATTTCAAAAACTTGGTATTCTCTTTTCTGTGTTCAAGTTCCTCATTCAGTTCTGAGGCATCACCTTCCACATAACAGTGTAGGCTAAGAACCTCCAGGAACCACTCAATGTCTCTCCGTTTTTCTCAGTTTCTATATCCAGTCAGTTACCAAAGCCTATTGGTCCTACCCATGAAATAGCTCTTGAAATCTTTGTCATTCATTTACTGACAATACTGTTTTAATTTGCCTCTTTGACTTAGCCTTTCCTTCTCCCAGTTTGTTCTCTGTACTGCCTCCAAAAGCAATAGTTTTGTAACTCAGTACTATTTATGTCACTTAAAAGCCATGATGACCCACCGTGGCTATCCATGTCTGTAACCTCAACATGGCCCTATGTGGTTATTCACATCAGCCCCAGTCTATTTTTCCTACTCTCATTTGCTGTAATTCTTGCCTTCTTCCCTTATTCCCAGACTACTGGATTTCTTGAGGTCCAGAAACACAATACACATTTACACTCATGTTAACTTAGCTGCTTGGCCTTTCGTATAGTAGCTGCCAAGATGACAAGGAAACATTCACAGAGAGAAGGTCTGTTAACTCCAGAGTGTAGGTTACAATTTAAATTACCTAGTTACGTGCTCTTCTCATTGTTTACTTTTACTTTCAGGAAATCTTATTTAAACATACCAGTTTTGTGTGCTCTGGGACTGTAAAAGTGTTTCTACCCATACTTGAGTCATTGGTTAAAAGGTTAGTTGTTTTCCTCAACCTCCGGTTCAAGCATGATGGTGGGAGCAGCATTGTTATGAGGGGCTTCTGAGAAAAAAGTTACTCATTGGGAACAAAATCTATATGGTAAAGCATAACAGAAATCTTCACAAGGAAAGTCTACCCCCATTTTTACTCTTAGAAGATATGTGTTTCATTTTATTAGAAAATAGTTTTCCTTATAGCTCTGAACACAAAGACATTGAGTAAAATGTGTTGCCAATGCCCCATCTCCTCTGGCCCATTGTGAATCAATGGTTCTCCTAATTATCCATTGAACCTTAATTTTCTTATTAGCTTGTTGGAGTATAAAATGAAATCATAGAGAACACCTATCATAGTGCTTGGTGCATGATACTTGGGTCTGAAAAATTGTAGCTGCTAACTTTCTTAGCGCAGTTATAAGGGGCAAACTTAAATGAGTTCTCTTCTCATTAGCTTCTCTTGAGCGCTCTACCCTAACATACTTACTTGCTTGCCTATGTAATGACTCCCTGACAAGACTATGCGTATTTCTTTTCCAGATTTTTTCCTGCTGTGTTTTTCTTTATGTAACTGCATCTCCAGCTAAACAATATGTACCTTGAGGATAAAAGTCTGTTTTACTCATTTTTGTATAACCCAGTGCTCAAGTATCATAGGGAATGAGTAAAACAAAATCACCTAATATATGACTTGATAGATTTTCAAAATATTTTCATTTGTGAAAAATCTGAAGTAAAAAGAAAATAGATAAGAAAAACAACTGGCTTTCCAAGTTGTAGTAACAAAGGCAGAATGGGAAGAGCTAATTTAGAATCAGTGAATTTTAAAGCTGATGGCAGCTATACAATTCCATCTGGTTTAATCTCTCTCCCAATGCAATGTTCCTGACAAAATGGCTGTTCAGACTCTGCTTGGAAAGTTTATAGAGAGTTTTTCCATGTTTGGGCAGTTTAATTTCTAGAAAGTTCTGTATAATGAACTGAATTCTACTTCCCATCTTGGATTTAGAAAAAAGTCAGTGTACTCTTTTAACATCAGAGCCTATCATATTCCCATAATACCATTTCTCTACCCCAAGTATTTGATTTGGAAATCATGATATGTTCCATATGCAGATAACTCATTTATCTAGGCTTCAGATTTCTAGAGGAATTAGAACTGGTTGGGTAGGCGTGGTGAATTTTTCTGTTAATCATAACACCTACTGAGCCTAAGAACACAAGTATATCTTATTCTGAAATCAAGGAGAAATAATACTTCAGATATGTATTAGGTAATCCTTTTTTTATTATATAACTTTACTTTTCCGTTGAAGGGATAATGATGTAAATTTAAATATCACATTACCACTGAACTTAGATTTATAGTACATTATGGGGTAGAAAAAATATTCCACGATTTGGAGCAAAGTTTTGTCATTCATGCAATGAGTATTAATCGCATGTTTATTCTAGGTGTACACTTTGCTTAAGTCAGCATTATCTAAGAATCATTAGATTATATAATCACTTTCTCTTTACACTTATTTTAACCTCAAAAATTCTTGGAAATAATATCTATGATAAAAATGTCTATTTGTGCATTAAGCTAGAGATACTTTCTATAATTCACCTATTAAAAAGCAGATGCATTTTAGACTTGGATAGCATCTGTATAATCAAATGTCGGTTATGAGAATTGTTCTCTATTTTTCAAGAAACACAGCTAATCTTTATTACAAGTTTCATAGTTTATAATGCATGTTTTATATACAGGTGTTCTGTGTAAATATCTCTCAAGATCCTCTCATTCCAAAGGACTTTATCTCACTTTTTATCAAGTATACCATTCATCTGAATGAATCCTGCTTTATTTGAAGTATATGATATATATAATTTCCTTTAATCTTTTATACTTTGTATACCATGATTTAAAAAAAGTTCTTGTATGTATTTTTGGTTTCTAAGGTAAATTCATACCAAAATACTTTGTATATCTCAAATTACATAGGAGAGGAGCAAGGATACCTATCCAAATGAAAGGAAGAAATTACTGAGTCTGAAAATGCAGAGAATTCACACTTATGATAGACTTAGTTATTGATATCTGTCAATAAGAGATTACTCACCAGAACTGTTTTACTCACCAGAAATGTTTTATTTCTGTTGTAATTTAACAATCATACAAAACATAAACATATAGCTACATATTTTAAAAACACAAACACCGGTATGCTTTTTTATTTTCAAATGAGATCTAGATGTTCATATAGGGCAGATAAGAATTGATATATACAGTCTAAGTACTGAAAAACTGGTTCTTAAATCAGACTGTAGTTATTGCAAGTATTAAAAATAATGGCCTGGAAATGACAAAAGCTTAAAGAGAAGCTAGCTGAAAAATAAACTGAATGAAGAATGATAACTGAATTATAGGCATGAAGTTTTTTATGTATATTTAAAATGTATTATGAACATTTTTGGGGGAATGGGGCCTTCAAGTTCTATAACAGCCAAAATAGTTGGCTTAGTTCATTAAAAAAAGATTAACAGTATATTCAGTCAATGAATTATCCTATAGATTTTATAAATTATAATTTCTGTTAATAGCTTAATGATAGTTGGTCACATATATCAACATCCCTAACATCACACAAAATAAGGAGAAATTTTAAATATAAAAATCAGTTTTATAAGATCTTGGGAAAAACTGAGCCTAAATAGAAGTTGTTTTTTTCCCCCTGACTTTGAGGATGTCACATATTCATACAGTGGATTTTTTTCCCCATGTAATATGATATTTTTGAAAATTTTGGTTATATATTCCTCACATTGCAATATAGTTAATATATACACCATTGCATGTATGTGGGTTAGAAACTCCTAGGTCACATTATCTGGGTGTTAGAGTCTTATTTTCTGACTCCTTTGGGCACACCACAAAGTATTAATTTTTAAAACGTAGCTATATGAAACAAGTTCCTAAGCTCTCACAAAGTAGTTTTTGGAAAGGATATATATATAAACATATATAATATATAAAATAGATAAAGAATTAATTTATTCTTTTAACCAGGTTTATAATATGCTAACCTCTGACCCATCAAGTAGAAATTTAACATTCTGGTTTTGGATTAGTTTCTTTGAAATACAACATTAAAAAAAAATCATTGAGGTAACATTGGTTTTTAGCACTAGTGATTCAAAGGCATAGGATCACACCTCCTCAAATGCATGTCACCACACCATACAATTTTTCCAAGAGAGACAAAAATAGATTTTAGCTAAAATAAATGATAGCTGGTAACAGCATACTTTAAAGATGGCACTAACAGGAAAGGTTCAACCTCAGTGTATATTTTTGAGAAGTTTTGATAGAGAGGTAGGCTAACATCTGATACATACTGATAGTACTGTGTTTGATCAGTAAGACCTGTTTTAATGTTTATTTCTAAATGGTTCTAATTGTTTTTCATTTTCTATAAAGATACAGTTGTGAGACAATAAATTATCTCTGGCATTTAAAATACAGCAATGTGTTTATGCTGCTATTTTAATATTTTTGATCAATTAGGTTTTACTTAGTTATCTTTTATAATTACTGCAAATTTTTAATATTTTCTCAATATAACAAGTATTGTAAGTCACTTTAATAATTACAATGATGTATTTCTACACAATATACAAAATGAACTAAAGGCATTTCTGATTGCACCTGTTTAAAGATGGTTTGTTGTTATATCAACTTGGATGCATAACAGATACCATGTCCTCAAGAACCTAACAGTCCTTTTATATATCATGCCTTTAATGCACATTAAAAGACAGCAAATAATGTAGTTTATATAAAATGAAAACAAAACCTCGGCATTTAGCTTTCTGCACAGATTATTTACCTGTGGTCCTAAGGGCACCATTCCTCTTGGAGGAGTCATTCTCTGCATTGGCCCACCCATATTTGGATGTCCTAAAAAAAAAAAAAATTATTAGCAATGTTAATAGGCATGATTCTGAACCAGAGGTGAGTAGCCTCCTCTCTGCTTAGCATTTAATGTCTTATTTACTGAGGCACTGAGTTAGTAACATCATCTTATCTTGGTTCCCATCCATTTGTCTATCTCTTCCAGCACCTACCTCCCACCCACACTATTAATGACCGAGATTGAAAATTTCTTCCTATTCTATGTTGATTACATCTCTCTCTCCCCATTGCTGCCTCTTTTCTTGGTACAGGGCCATATCTGTGGTACCTAAATATTTTTATGGAAGGACTTGATTTGGGTTTATTAATCAAATCAGTTATTGTTTGGCATCTCTTGCCTCCTGCTTATCTTTCAGATGGACTACCATCTCTATCTGAAATAGGAAGACAAAATTTTAAGTGATATAATTACTTTGATTCCCGTTTGCTAGAAATTATGTAAGGTTTTAAAGTTATTAGTTAAAATATAAATCTTTGGATATTATTCTATGTTAGCACTGCCCACACCATAATGCATAATTAAGAGTAAGCTAAAAATGTAAATCACTTGACTGTGCTACCTGAAAAAAATGCAACTGGTATAATTATAGAAGATTTATACCAAAAATTTTCCTTAAAAATTAAAGGATCTCCTTTGAGATTGAGGACAGCAATTTCACTTTTTTTTTTTTAAAGATTGATTTATTTATGCATATAAGAGCTGGGGTGAAGGCCAGAGGTGCGGGGGGTGAGAGGATTCACCAGAGTGGCAGAGGCAGATTGACTGAAATACACTGCTGATAGGAGCAGTGGGCAAGACAGGAGAGGTCTGCTGCATGATGTGGGTCACCTCCCTAGCCAGGGACTGAACTCGTGCTGCTGATAGCTTCATAGTGCTGAGACTTAACTTCTTGTGCCACCAGGGAGGACCCCAATTTCACTTCTAAGTAATCACCTTGTTGTCGAGTTGGGTCCATTCCACTGGGAAGTAATGGCTGACTTCCTGGGACTCCTCCAAGTGCCTAGCATATTTAATAAAACAAAAAACAATATTGTAAATATAAAACAAGGCCTTTATTAATTCTCTTCTAAAAATGCTTACAATTACAAAATGCATTTGAGTATGTAACAAGATTTCTTGTATTTCACATTCACTTACAATACTAGACTTGCTTATGTACTTATGTATACACCTAGCAAAAGTTTTAAGTTCTGAAAGGATTTTACTTTGCTAAATTTTGTGGCAAACAAAGTAAGTATTTTTGGGGGGACAAACATGTAGGCAAAAAATTGTCCTACTTCTACCTGAAAAGTATGCCTTTTCCCTTAATTTAGTAAGGGTACTGAAGTAACTAATTTTGCTTCTTAAATGTAAGCATTGTATTCCTATAGTTTTGCTCATTTGGGACTATAACGGCAGCACTAAAATGTAATTTTCTTTCTTGCTTGCTTACAAGCATATTTAGTACCAATTTACTGAGATACTACTGTGTGATCTTTTCTCTCCTTACTCTCCCAGCCTGGCTTCCTCTCACTGCCACACTAATATTGTAACTTCTAGCTGTAGGAGACTTCCAAATTTTTTTCAATTCATGCATTTGATTAATATCTAAATGACAACAATTTAAATTAAAACTAACCTACGCTCTCAAAGCAATCACAGTCCCTTAAGTGACTATTACTGACGTATTTCAGATTTCAGGTTAGGGATTTTTTTTTTTTAAAGATTTATTTTTTATACAAGAGCTGGGGTACAGACCAGGGGCACAGGAGGGTGCGAGGATTCACCAGAGACAGAGAGGGGAATGGAACAGGCAGACGACCATAATACACTGCTGAGGGGAGCAGTGGGCGGGACAGGAGAGGTCTGCTGTGCCATGTGGGAATTTCCCTGTTTGGCCGGGGATCGAACCCGCGCTACAGAGGCTGCAGACAGCTTCAAAGCACTGCGCTCAACCCTCTACGCCACTGGGGAGGCCCGATTTCTTTTGTTGTTGTTGTTTTAACATTGGTTGACAACACTGTGTATGATTCAGAGTTACAGGTTCACACCTCTTCAGATGTACCTTCCCACACCACTCCCATAGTCCTTCACCACAGTCCATTGAGCTCTTTCCCTACTGGGGATCAGTTCTTAACAAAATTCTTCCACATACCCCTCATCTGGGATAAGGTCTCCTATTTGTTTTATAAAATGTATACATTTTATAAAAAATTCAAACTTACAGAAAAGTTGCATAACCATTACAAAGCATTTCCATACATTCTGACCTGTTAACATTTTACCACATCTACCTCATCATGAAAATATATACTTGCTATCACCTTTCTCCTCCTCTATATAGAGACTTGTTATAAGTCTTTTTCAGAACTACTTGAGAGCAAGTTGTCGACATTATGGTCATCACCTGTAAGTACAGCAGAATAATATTGAATAGTTCCCTGAACAAGGATATTCTCCTGCATAGCCACAACACAACTTTTCAGCTTTGATCAACAGCCATACAACCTACCATCCACTACCATCACAGATATCATTCAAATTTTGTCATTTGTCTCAACAATGTTTCTTTTTTCTTTCTGGGGACCAGGATCTTGTGAAACACACACACACTGCATTTGGCTGTCTCATATTCATACTCTTCCAAGCAGAAATATAATTAGTACTTCTCTATCTAGCATGTCCTCAGCAGTTTTAGAGAATGGGTTTAAATTCTATAGGATGATCTTCTGATGTCTCTTTTGACCCAAATCCAGGTCATATTTTCTTAGAAGGAATACCAGAAAAATGTTAAATTCAGTGTAACACAATAGAGGGTATGTGGGGCTTACTCATCCCACTATTTGGTGACAGTAGCCTTTGTCATGTGACTGTGCTAGTGTCTACCATAAGATCCTTACTGTTCCTAATGTAACTGATTATTTTAGTATTGTCATTGTATCAAGATTGTTGATATTGTATCCCTCATCAATCCTCTATCAGCCCATTAGCATTAGCATCCACTTGTAACTCCAAAGAACTATGATAATTGTGAAAAGGATGTATTCCATGTCTCTCATTCTTTCTCTGCTTATTAGTTGGTATTCTGCTGTAAGGAAGAACATTTCTTTATTATTCAAGTATGGATTCCTACTTTTTTCAATGCACTGCAATCTATCAACATCATTTATTATAACATTTAAATTTTTTAAAAAAAAATTATTTTTGCATACAAGAGCTGGGGTATAGGCCAGAGGTGGGGGGGGGGTGAGAGAATTCACCAGAGATAGAGTGGGGAACAGAACAGGCAGACTGACTGAAATGCACTGCTGAGGGGAGCAGCGGGTGAGACGAGAGGTCTACTGTGCCATGTGGGTTGCTCCCTGGCAGGCCGGGGATCGAAATCGTGCTGCAGAGGCTGCGGAATGCTTCATAGTGCGGTGCTTAACCCCTTCCACCACCAGGGAGTTCCATGTTATAACATTTAAATTATCAAGATTTTTGGGAGATCCTTCAAGCTGATTGTCCTTTTGACATGTCCCCATTATAGATGCAGCATTTCTTAACTGGCATAAGGTACTGCAGGTTCATCTCATACTTTTTCTGTATTAGCTCTGGAATCGGGTCTTCTGAAAGTCCTAACTCCTTAGTGGAGACAGTTATTTTGGCAGCAAATTTGGGTTCTTAGGGTATTCACTGTTAGTTGTCTGCACTGCTTTTAGGAAATCTCAATAGATGCAAGCTCAAAAACCTATGTGTGTATATATGTGTATACATATACATTTAAAACTAATTCGGTGTATGTGTATGGTATTTACACATACCATAAATTCATACACTCCAACACCAATTCAATATTTTCAATTCCAATACCAAGCCTTAGGACTATTTTTAGTCTTCATCCTTTCTATGTTTATATTTCCTCCAACAATTTTAGAATATTCAATATCTTTATTTCTGTATCTTTAACATCTTTTACTTTTTTGCTCAATAAGTGTACTTTTTCATATAACCAATCTCCCAAACACAATAGCCATTTCTTTCTGCTACCTCTGTGTGACTCCTCCCTGCTTCACTATATGTCTCAATGTGGAGGTAAGGGCTTCTGATGTACTTTTATAGGCTCTTGGATGTCATTTTCACAGAACTTAGGATTATGGCTTGTTTTCTTTATCTCCAACAGAGGTAAGCTCTGAGAGTGTGGACACTATCTGTGCCTATGGGTTCCCAGAAATAATTATTGAAGGAATAAAAGAAATATGATTTAGACTGGATAGTTTTAAGAATTATAAATGATAAATCACATAAATGGAATGGAATTCAAAGAATGAAAAGGAAAAAGATCAAATATATAAATTTAAAGATACTAAGAATAAGTAGGAAAGGAAATTGAAACTGAATAGGTAAGAAATTAGGAGGGAGGAAGGGACCAAAACCAGCATTTCAGAAAGCATGAGGAGAGTTTCACTTTTGATGTGGTCAACACTGTCAAAAGTTACAAAGAGGAGAACTGAAAATATATGACTAATCGACATTATCTTTAATTAAGAGTTTTAAGTTCTTGCTTTAAGTTCCCATGTTAAGATGAGAATTGTATACTCTGGACTTAGATTCTGAATTTCTAAATCTCACTGAAGACATTACATTTTACCACATTTTTCTTAATTTCATTTTATTATTTATCCTAGTATATAACAGTTGATGAACCTTTGTTTTTATTGTCACTTAAATTAGTATAATGTTACAGAAATCTTGATTGTCAAACTGCTTTAAAAATGACTGTCATATAAATAACTCTTGAGTCATCAGTTTTTATCTTTTACAGTAAGTCAAATTTCTAACTTTAAAAACACTTATCAGTGCTGGGAAAACCAGATGCTTCAACACCAGATAATACCCTAGTACACTGCTGGCAGTAATGTACACTGGAAAATGAACTGTATCCATATTAGAAAACTAAAAATGGATATGTCATATGATCCAGCAACCCCACTTTTTAGGTATATATCCAAAGTATAGGAAAATATCAACACAAAAAAATTGCATGCCCCACAATGCCTATTACAGTACTATTTACAGTAGAATAAATACTCAATGATATAGGATATCTACAAAATGCAATACTATTCAGCTATAGGGAAAAATAAAATGTTATCATTTATAGCAAAATAAAAGGAGTTTGAGTAAATTATGTTTTGCAAAGCAAGTACAAAAGATAAAGGCAAATACTGAACAATTTTACATATAGGAATAAAGTAAGGCATCAAAGCACATAAATTGATAAAGCAAAATAATTATAAACTAGTAGACACTAATAATTGAAGGGAGATTTCTGAGGTTAAGAGGGAGGAAGGAGAAAAGGTAAAAGGGGTGGATGATAGGAGGAAAAACCTTTTTGCACTTAATTTGATGCTCCTTTATTTTCCTTCCTATATCTTTTCACATAGTGATATTATACCATATTCTAAATGCCAACTTCTACAATACGTAAACAGTACAAACCATTGTGAATTTAGTCTAGAACCATGAAAACCATCTTAGGAGAATTTAAAATCTATTGTCTAATTATTAGTAATTATAAATTCTGAAGGATCTGTTAATTTAACATATTCAAAATTATTAGTCAACACTAATTAAAAAGATTAATATTTCACAGTTTACTTAGATATAATCTATCATAAAGACAAAATTTCATTAGCTTAAGATCATTTTAGATGAAAGCTAAATCAAATTACTTAACATATTTGTATTTTAATATATAGCATTTCAATTAATAACCAAAAATACCTTTGCAATTCAACTTTAATGATTAAAAAAACTGATGAACCATATTTGCTGTTTGAAAAGGGTGTGCTCCTATATAGTTTTAACAATGATTATACTACTACACAAATTGTCTAGAAAAATCTTTTGAAAAACAGTATAAATGTAAATCACAAGTCTGAAAGATAGATGTTTGAATTATTGAGGTTTGACTATATCAGTGGGAGAGGAGATTAAAAAGAACCACAGTGAGCACAATTGTTTTAAAATGTGCTTATGTAAAGTCTGTTTGAAATTCTTGAGGAAAAGGAGTCTCTACCATAACTACTACCTTTTAACTTAATTGCCTCTTTAAAAGATTAACAAGCATTATGAACTTGTTCCTAAAAAACTTCAGTCTAGATTTATAGTTCTGTATCCTCAGTACCAACACATTCCTCTCCTAAAAGTCTTTCATTTTATTCTGTATAGATATGGAACCTAGCATTGTATTTAATACATAGCAGGCTGCACCAACAATGTGAAATGAATGAGACCCCAATAGTTCTTGGATTTTCACTGATACAGAATATATATAGAGAGTAAAAAAATTCTAACATTTGTATAAGGAAGCCCCATTTTTGTAATTTAGATTTTCAGGAATCTCCTGTCTATATAAAATACAAAATTTTGGATAGGATGTCTGAAACACCAGTATCATAACTTTCTGTCCTTCAAAACAAATTTAAGAAGATGGAGACACCCATGCAGACAGATCTGATTACAAATATAACCAGGTTCCCCCACAGAAAATGCCCACATGTTGGAACACTTTGCTTATGTGCACCTCCCCATCCTGTTTATGCCGTGTTCTTCTGGTCCTATGTACTGAATGCAGATTGAGTGTGATGGAGAAAACTCCAGCTGCTAGTGTGAGGACTGCTAGCACTGTAACCAGGAGGGGACCTGCCACTGCTGCAGACTTAAAGCTCTCCAGTAGAGGTGAATGTGGGTGCGGAATCTCTATACTGTACATACAAGCACAGAACACCAACAAATTGGGACACTACAAGAACACTGCATAAAGAGTTAGGAGAGAAGCAAAGCTTTGTTGCCATCAAATTTATTAGTAAGCATAACTTTTTTTCCACTTTTGCTCAGGAAATGGAAACAGAATAGGAATGAAAAAAAAAAAAGTTACCATGCTAACAGAGTTTACTTTAGATCTGGGAAAATGCTGAGGCATGCAAATAACAGCATGAAAGGAAGTGACAAAACAAGTATTTTAATAATAAATATTCCATACAATTAAGCTTTTAATTTTCCTTTGTTAAATACATGCACATTGATGTATCCTTAAAAAAAAAAAAAACTGAACTACTTGCAAGTAAAACTTGTGGACAAGTTTGGTACCTTAGAGTTCTTGCAGGGAAATGGACGTTAGAATGTTTATTATTAATAGATTTAACTACTCTAGAAGTACTTAATTACATGTCTCATAATACCTTTATAATTTGGGAAAATTAAAATGAATGTTATAGCCATGATGTAGAAAGCATATGACATGAAATTTAACCAAGGTATGTTTACAGAAAATTCTGTTGCCACTTTTTAAGTGAGCATTATATGTATTTAAAAAATCAGATTCAAAGTATCCGGAAGACTCCAAAAGTTGGCAAATGTTTTCTGTTAAGATTCAGATTGTATTTTAGTAGAAGTCCACATTAGTCTCTGTCATGATTACTCAAATGGTAGCCGAGTGCATACTGCTCTGCTTCTGCAGTGTAAAGGAAGTCACAAGTAAGTCCAAAAAACAAATGTGATTACATTCCAACAAAACTTTATTTACAAAAATAACCAGCCTATAGGAGTATAGTTTGCCAACCCTTAAATAGATTATAAGGGGTAATGTAATATTTTTGTAGAATAAGAAAAATTTGTGACATTTTCAAGATATTTATCTTAAAATTGATTCTTTGGGGAAAAAACCAAAACCCTTAAGTAGCTCATAAATCTTACCTGGTTAGGTATCCTCAGTGGGGGCCTTGGACCTCCAGGGTACCGAGGTGACATAAAAGGCTATTGAAGTAAAACAAAACACCATAATGTGAAATACTGATATGAAAATAAACTGCTTTAAAATTTATAATTATATAAAACATAAATCAATTTACTTCCCTATACAGCAGCTTTTAGTAGAATACCTCTAAAGAAAATTACCATCCTATTTTTTATTTTGTAGAATATCCAGAAAATTTTTTAAAGAAAATGTTGATTCATCAAAGAAGATTAAAGTACAGTAAAAATATTTTTAATGCAAATTAAGAAAAAGATAATTGGTAAAGATAAAGAAATTTAAGCAATTGAGTCTCAAGACTTACTTAGAGAAGTAAAGTTTACTGGCAAGCTCCATTATTATACAAATTGGGTCCTTAGCATAAAATTTTGACAGGATTATTATGCAGTGTGATCATCTATTTTCTTTAATAATTTTAAAATTGTCAAAATTCATCTTTTTGTAGCTTTGTTTAAAATGGTAAAAAAATTTCTGAGAATCATTTGTGGCTAAAAGGACTTTGATTTCCCTTTGCCAAGCGCCTGTTACAATTTAAAATTGATAATAAACTTTAAAGTTGAAATTTCTTTGCATGTTTTGAGCCTCACTTTAACAAAGGCAAAAATGGTCCTATATTAAAACTCAAGTCAATTTATCTTATGAGTCACAAGTTGCTGAGCTATACTGACTCTTATCAGTGAAAAAAAAAAATCCTAGAAATAGTTCAGTGATCAGGATTGAGTGAAGAAGGATGATTTACATCACTTAGACTTAGATAGGAAATTTTAAGATCTCTTCTAAATTTATCCAAAATTCCATTCTTATTGTATTCTTCTAGAAACAGAAAATTTTATTTAATTACATCACAAGGCATAGTTTGCTTAAATACATTACTTATTACATGTAATACAAGCAAATTATCAACTCTAATGGGTTGATTATTATGTAAATGAACAAGAATGAATTAATATATAAGTATAAAAGCTTGGGCAAGCCAAATCTGTATACTATATTACAGGAATTAAATTCCGCATTTATGGTGTGTATTCTACACACGTTTTTAGAAATCAGGCCTGCAGTTCAGCCACACAAAATTTTCAGGGCTATTTTAAAAGCAACATCTGAAAAATAAAAATTTTGACACATTTATGCTGTATAGACTTTTCTGTATTTTTGGAGGGTCTGACAAACCAATAAGAGAACTAAGCAAGCCATTTGCCTTTCTGCTCACTGTGTTCTTACATTTAAAAAATCCTAGGTGTTCTTTTTAAATGGACAAAAACAGTGGATTATTTGGGTAATAATGTCACCTCCAGCTGATAACATAAGTGGATTTTAAATTTTTTAGTTTTTACATATTTCATCAAAGTACTTTATAATTTCTGAACCTCTATTTTAAATTGGATTAGTTTACTAATCCAACTAGAAGCTTATCCCAATATTCACACACTTTCTGCTATATTCCTAACCACCTAGTTTCATTTATGAAATTGTCTTAAATTATGCTGTCATATGAATATTGTGTCACTGGTTTTGGAATGGCTGCCAGTCCAAAGCAATGTGTACCACATAGTCACCAATCCAAAATTAAGGTATCAATTTAGTTTTTGAAATGTGGAGAAATAAAAATAAGTTACTAATTCCTGTCTATAAGTTCAGTTTGAAATGGAATACAAGCTAGAAATTGTTTGTCTTAGCATTTGATATTTTAGCATTGATATATTTCTCACTTGAAATAGAGCATTTAGGGTTTGCATGTTCATCTGAATGTAAAATGTTATAGTATTAATTTAGTGGACTATTTGATGGCATGTGAATTTTAGAATTGTACTCTCCTATTTGACCCTGAGGTATGAGAAAGGGACTGCTGAAAGAAGCAGAGGGACACTGCAGGAGTCCACAGAATAAGACTGGGAGAGAGGTAGTTTCTTCCTCTAGTTAAATCTATTTCCTCTATATGCCCTCCTTCAAAGAGCTCAAATGCATTACATTGTATATTGCATTAACCTTAAATATAATGATTAGTATGTAGTAGGTAGCTGTATTATTGAGTGTGGGTATGGGATATAGCATATATATGTTCATAAGGCACAGATCATCATTATCATGTTGGAGATACTTATTCCCATGCTTCTCTAGAGATAAGGGAAACCCCAAATTTAAGGAAAAATATTTCAACAAATATGTTCTTTGTTCAGGTCAAAGGTCAAATGAATGCAAGAGATTTTTCACTCAACAATTATTTAGTAAACACATAAATGTTCTGAGTGGCTGGAACAATCAGTGAACAAGTGGATAATTATCACTGGCTTCTGCTTAGGATTTTTCAAGGTTCAGTCTTGAAACTTAATAGGAAAAACAATTTCCTGGAAAAATTGTTTCTACATCAGTCCACTCATGTGAAATAGAATGTTCTCTTTACCAAATGGCACGTATCAATGAAAACAATTATTTCAATCTGGTGCCTCCCCCTCAAGTCTTATTACATCATCCCCATTTGACAGAACATGTACTATGAATGGCTGAAAATAAACCATGATTTTAAAGTTTTCTAAAGTAAGTGAAACTCTCAACGTAAGGTTCTTTATAAGATAAATTGAGGGGCACAATTAGTACTTTGACAGGAAAACTACATTTATAGGCACTGATTCTCATTTCCATATGTTTCAGTTATCTGCCTAAAATGAATGGGATGAAAAGACAAAATGTGTAGGCAACTATAGATCTGAGGCTTAAAGCAGGGGAGGGGGAGGAAAAGGGATCAAAACAGACTGGAAAGAGCACAAGGGACCATGGTGATGGTTCACAGGTGATGTGGGGGCAGGATATTTATTACACCTGAGGGGAGAAGAAAAGAATGGATGGGATAAAGTAAAGGAATAAAAATATATACGACACAAGAAAATCAATAAATATGGGGCAACTAGTAGAAATACAAACCAACTGTCCAGTTCATTTTTTGAAGTAGTCTTTTAGCAAAAAGATTACACTATTAGAATCATAATTTATTTCAGCATGAATGTCATTAAATTTTAAAGGATTATTATTTTCCATTATATCAAGAATTATTCATGGAATTTTAAAATCTGCTTTCCTAAAAGACAGATTTTCTTTTATTCTTTACCCTTTCTTGCTAGTGGAAACTAGTAATCGCCTTCTTCTTATTTGATCTTTCATAAGCCCTTAGTGTTTTATCTCAATTCCCGAAGAATTAGAAAGAACCAGCTCACTCTTTCCTCACTGTAGTTGAAGATTGCTCAGTGCAATTCTTTCTCCCAGATACCCCCTCCACCCCCAATATGGGAATGTTATATAAATAATTTACCAGGAAAGAAATTACAGGTGATGAGAACCATTTTAAAGATACACATATTGTACATCTTAAATGACATTTTGCTCAAATATTAACTTGCTTATATTTTCTACCATTTTAAATAGTATCAAAAAATATGATTTTTCAATACCAGAATAGTCTCTTGTTTTTGATATTACTCTGCACCTCTTTTCCATGCCAAGTAAATATGTATTAATCCTTCAAGGGCTAGTTTAAATGTCACTTCCTCTTTAAACAATCTATAGGCTTCTTTCCCTCTACTTCCTTAGCACTTTGTTCATACCATTATCAGGGGATTTAGGACACTGTGTGCCTAGATATGAAGGAAACCCACTTCAGAGAAAGAATACAAAACTGTATCAGAGCAAGTAATTATCTTAATGTCAAGGTAATTAATCCATAAAATAAAACCGGTATTTCTTAGAATCCTTTTAAAAATTTCAACATGGATTTAGAAACTCTTTAAATCTTAGTGTTTAAGAATAAATTGCTAATAGGAACATTTTAAAATCATTTTTAAGTTTCTTTAAAATCCATTCATTTAAGCATTTTCTATAAACTATATTTTATGAGAACAATTTAGAATAAATGATGAATAGCACTAAGTTTAGAATGGATAAATGTAACATTGAGGACATTTTACACCTCTTAAAACAGACACCTGAGGTATGTTCTAAAATATACAAATCTACAGGCCTTATGTATTTTAAACTATCTGAATTTTTTGAGGATAAAATTATTCATTTGAAATTTGCTTCTAATTGTGAAAAAATATCTTCTTAAATGGAATGATATACACATTTCCCAAGGTTATGAAAGTATGAACTGACGAAACAAGTGAATTTTCATTTAAATTATTTCAAAAAAAATCCTGTCCAGTATTGTGCATTTAAATATAATTTGACTTACAGAATTTTACTTGAATGATGTCTTTTTGATACATTCTTTAGAGAAGAAACTTTTACATTTTAGAGTTCACTAAGTCAACTCCATTTTACGTAAAATCCAAGACCAAATTTCTTGACTGCGTTTTTGGTTTCTTATGGCTATAGTAACCTGCTACAGTAGTATTTTTATAGGATTAAGGCCGTACACATGCTTCATTTTTTAAGAATTGGCCATAAGGGGCCTCCCCTGGTGGCGCAGTGGTAGAGCACTGGGCTGCAAAGCTGCCCGCAGCCTCTGCAGTGCCGGTTCCATCCCCGGCCGCCAGCGAGGGTCCCACATGGTGGGGCAGATCTCTCCTGCCATGCCTGCTGCTCCCCTCAGCAGTGTATTTCGTCAGTCTGCCTTCTCTGTTCCCTGCTCAGGCTCTGGTGAATTCTCTCACTCTCCCATGCTTCTGACTGTACCCAGTGCTGGTATAAATAAATAAATAAATAAATAAATCTTTTAAAAAAAAAATTGGCCATAAATAAATCTGCTGACTTGGCACAACCTCCTAGGCCCAATCAACTGTGCAACCATTTACTTAATGTGGAATTCTTTACCCTTCCTACTACTCAACCATGGAAAGCTGAAAAGGCAGTGGTATTTCAGGTAAAGCACTAATTAGCATGTGCTCTTGATTCACCCAACTAAAAGAAATTTGACAACTGAAATAAATTTAATAAGCTTTATCTCTTTCCTTGGAGCATTTTTGGTGGAGTTTTGATACTATATGTACTCTCTAGTCCCTTTATTTGTGAT